TCACATTGGTACAGTTTCTCTGTAGATCCAAACAGTCTCTCTGGAGGTCACTGTGGTCTGTTTGAAGGGTTTGCAGTTTCTTCTCCAGCTCTGGATGTTTCAGAAAAGACATATTTGAATTTGTTTTAGCTAAACATTATGATGTAATCCAGTCCTTAAAAAATCAGCCATAAGATATAAAACAGCTCAATGTGATGTACAAGTCATTATTAAAGAAGCAACTGATAATCAAACATTTGCCAGTCTTGGATTTGTGCACAAGCTCACAAGTGCCAGAGACATTGTGGTAATTGTGGAAATTGTGTGAATTGGGTTCCTGCAACCAGTCATGGGCTGAGACTTGAAATTTGTCAATGAACAGTTGGAAGAAGGTTTGTTGGTCACCAGTGAGATATGAATGGATAAACATAAAGCTCACCAGTGTTGGATCTCTGCGTGAGAAGATAGCTGTCTGTCACATTCCTGTAGTTTCTCTGTAGATCTGAAAGTTCTCTCTGAAGACTTGAATGTTTTGATTGAAGAGACTCCAGGGCCTTCTGCAGTTCTGGACAAAGAACACAAGGGACTTATTTCTCCTACGACTTGGGGTTATAACATTATTGGGGGCTCGTCTGGGATATGAACCCAGGACTTCTTACACCCCAAGCGAGAATCATACCCCTAGACTAGTCTAGGGGATCAGAAGTCAAACTCAGATATTGAGGGATACTGGAGATAATGTTACTACCCCAAGTGTGTAGGGGTAAAGGGGTGTAACATTTAGGATAATTTTTGAAAGCATGTGGGTTCTGGTGAGGGACTAGGAAGCGTGATAACAAGGGTAAGGGAACTAGAGTGGTGCCAAAGAAAAGAAAATAAACAAAAATGGAGCTGGCTAAGAAAGTGAGGGAAAGCTGACCTGACTACAAAAGAAAACCCGAAACACATGGTCTTCGGCGTCTTCAACACCCTAGCTAACCTCCACTGACTACCCAAAACCATACAAGACAAACGGCACTCACCCATACTAAACTACTGTTACTAATACAAAATCAACTAAGTGTGTAGAATGTACCCTACAACCTAAACTAACCTTATACACAAAAGTTCACACAAAAACACAAGTGAACTAGGAATACAAATAAGGGAAAACGAGAGTAATCAACAGGAACAGGGTACAAAAAAACACAAAGGTTGAACATATAACACGTTGGGGCAAGGTAATGGCAAAACAAGGATAAACACACAAACAAACTAAAGTACAAAGAAACGAACAGAAACCAACAAAGCCGTAGCTAAATCAAAAGCGAAGCGAAGCGAAGCGAAGCGAAGCCATAACCAAAACCAAGCGGGACCGAAGTCAAACAAAAGGCATCTTCCTTCTGAAAGCCCCCATGTTTTATACTGAAAAAGATGAGTTCTGATTGGCTGAGAGCTGATTGATGATGATGTCATATGGAAACAATGGTTAAATGGTGGGCCACTGGGGAAGGGAGAACAATCAAGGTCAACAGTGTGGAAAATAACAACAAAACACATATAGATCACACACTGGGACGTAACAATGATCAACTGAAGTAAAGAAACTAGGAACTGTAAAAAACTCGTTGTATTGTCATATTTCATCATATTTGTCCTATTTGAATTTGTTTTAGTTAAACATTTTTATATATTAGCCCACAGCTATATCACCCTGCAATTCACAGCTGGCAGCCCCACTGAAGCTCAGTAGGTGTGAGTCTGGTCAGTACCTGGATGAGAGACCTCTTGTTAAAGCTAAGGTTGCTGCTGGAAGAGCTGTTAGT